AGCCGGCAGCCTCCCAGCTCCATCCCTCCCCTGTCCCCGGTGCGGAGGGACACCGCTCACTTGGCTGGGAAATGGAAAACAGGTGGTTTTGGGGTTTTTTGGGGGGGATGAGCACGTGGGGTTTGTTGCTGCCCAGCCCCGCGTGGTGGTTTCTTTAACGGAGATCTCCATCGCCTCTCTCCAGGACCACTGCTACTACCACGGGCACGTCCAGGGCTACAGCGGCTCCTGGGTTGTCCTCAGCGCCTGCTCGGGAATACGGTATGGAGAGGCGTAGGGCAGGGGGACTTGTGGGGGTGATGAAGGGGGGGCGGGTTGGATCTGGCTGCCCCCCTCCCCTCTGCAGGGACCTCCTCTGGGGTCAGAGGAGCACTGATGGTTCTCAAGCCCGGCTTTAGATGCTTCACAGGGCTGATTTTTTTTTTTCCATCGCTCCCCTTCTCCCATCCTTCCCCCAACCCCGGGGGTGGGCATTAGGCGGGGGAAAGGCCGTTTTTCTGGCAGCACGAGCTGCCTTCAAGAAAATTCATCTCTGGAAGGAGGCAAGACCCCGCACCCCACAGCGGGTACCCCAGAACTGAGCTTCGCCCCGTTGCAACCACCAGCTGCCATCCTGCGTTCGCGTGCTCTGACTGGCACGGAGGTTTTAATGCTAAGGAAATATTAGCTCGTGGGGCTGTATTGACAGAGACATCCGTCTCCTGCCTCTGGCCCCACCCTGGATATGGACCAAGCTGAGGTGCAGTGAGTTTGTAGGGCCTCAGCAAGGCCTGGGGGAGCCGGATTGAAAGCACCACAGGAGCCATCAGGGGCTGCTCTCCATTGCCAGGGGCCTGATAGTGCTGAGCAACAACGCCAGCTACTACCTGAAACCCCTGGGGACCCTCAAGCCAGGCCACCACATCATCCACCGAGCAGAGCACTTGCCCATCCGAAGTGGGACCTGCGGCCACGGTGACCATTTCGGGAGCACCATCGCCCACATCGCTCAGCTCTTCCAGCCAGTGCGCCACCGGGTAAACCCATCCCCGAGGACCTTTGCTCGCGGAGGGACAGAGGGCTGGGAGCGGGGCTGTTGGTACCTCTGCTAAATGCCTGCAGCTTGTGGTGGGGGTGCCCATCGCCCTGGCATCTGGGCAGGGTTGCGCAGGCGGATGGGATACGAGGGGCCTGCGTGGGCAGCTTACCCGGTTTGAGTTTGAGCAAGAGGCCCCAAAGGGAGGACCTGCGGGTTGGGTACCGGTGCTGCATCGTACGGTGTGGGACATGATGTGAGGCGATGTTGGGAATCGCGCTGTAGCCACCTGACTTTTCCTTGTCGCCTCGTGCCTCAGTTTCCCCTCTCAGCTGTCCTTCCTGAGCAGCTCTGCAGTGTCTGGGAAGGCAAACATGCCCAGAGCTGTGGGCTGCCTGCTCCTTCACGCCTCTAAGCCTTGGTGTCTGTCTCGCAGGCGAAGAGAGATGCCTGGAGGACCATGAAGTACATGGAGCTCTTCATCGTTGCCGATCACACACTGGTGAGCACTGTGGGGGACAGAAACCTGGTCCCCCTGCCAAAAAGCCGGGACACCTCTCTGTCTCCCTCCCTGCTCTTCCTCTGGTGACCCTTCCTCATCCCCGTCTCTCTGCAGTACAGGAACCAGAACTTCAACCTGGGCCACACCAAGCAGCGCATCGTGGAGATCGCAAACTATGTGGACAAGGTAGTGGCGCCTGCTGGTCCCTTGTGACCACCTCCATCATTCCCAGTGCACGTGAAAGCACCTGAGCTCGGGACTAGCCTGGGGGTGGCCTTCAGGGACTGTCCCTGTGTCACCAGGACTAGGGGTTTAGAAGGCTGATGTGAGCACGCGGTGGAAAATGCTTTGCTACCCATCGGCTGAGCTGCAGCAGCGAAGCGTATGGTGGCTCTCACCCTGCTGTGGCGATGGGGATCAATGCCGGCATCCTTGACACAAGGAGGGACACGTTTAGGTGTTGTCAGCTGATGGATGGCATCGTGCCACCCTGACTGGCTCCTGTGCCCATGCCTGTGCCTGTAGAGCCGATGCTTGCAGGTGAATTTGGGACAACCATGTCCCTGAGTCACCCAGCTGGAGGAAAAGCGTGGAGACCCACCAGCTGAAATGCTGTGGGAGGGGTGGAGGACGCGTAGCGAATGCCAGTCCCCGTCCCCTCCATCCTTGTCCCCTCCCTGCAGTTTTACAGGTCACTGAATATCAAGGTGGCCCTGATCGGCCTGGAGGTGTGGACAGAGCGGGACCAGTGCGCCGTGACCAGCGACGCCAACGCCACGCTCTGGTCCTTCCTGCAGTGGAAGAAGGCGCTGAGGTCACGCAAGAAGCATGATAACGCCCAGCTGCTGACGTGAGCACCCCTGGGGACTTGGGGACATCGGGGCAGGGGCCTCTCAGATTGGTCTGGGGTCCCCAAACCACCCCTGAGGTGCTTACTGCCCCTCCGTTCTCCTTTCTGGGCAGAGGGAAGACATTCAGGGGGACAACCATTGGCATGGCCCCACTGGAGGGGATGTGCAGTGCGGATAACTCTGGAGGTGTCAGCATGGTAAGAGGGGCACAGGGGTCCTCGCTGCTCCTCCCAGGCTGGAGGACCCCATCACCACCCTGTCCTGCTGGGGTTCTTCACAGTTTTGAAGGGCCAGCCAGCTGGGGTTGGTCCTGGGATGCAGCTTTGTGCAGTAGGGATGAGAGCGCATGATGATGCTGATGGCCCCTTACCCCTCTCAGACGTTGGCCAAGTACTAAGGAGGGTGAGAAAGGGCTGATTTAAAGGTCTCCCACCCCAGGTACACCCGCAGCTTGCAGTTAGCAGCAGCATTGGGATCTCCTGTGGTGCTTCTGCCCCTCCTATGGAATAACACCTGGTTGTTCCTTGCTTGTACTCTCTGATTTTGTAGGGTCATCTCCGCCCCAGATCTTATCCTGGTCTTGATGGGGTGATGGTAGCCCTGGTGACTTGTGGGCTCTACGCAGGGTGGCGGTGTGGGGCACCAAGGTTTCTGGGGTTTGGGATGCACCTTCTGAGCCCCCAGGTTTTCGGCAGTTGGCTCCAGCAAAAGAGCTCCCTAACAGTCCCATGTGGGACTTTTAGGAGACCAAACCCCGCTTTTGCCATGAATCCTCCTCCATCCCTGTCTCTGTCTCTCCCATGGCATCCAGTTGCAATCCCAGGGACGTTGTGGTCCTTCCACCTCCCTAACCCCGTTCCCTACTGCGGGATCACCCATCGCTCCTGGCTGCTGTGCTGATGCATCCCTCATCCCTATGCAGGACCACTCGGAGCAGCCCATCGGAGCAGCCGCCACTATGGCCCATGAAATCGGCCACAATTTTGGCATGAACCATGACAGCACGGGCTGCTGCGTAGAGGCCACCCCGGAGCAAGGCGGCTGTGTCATGGCAGGAGCCACTGGGGAAGTGGTGATGGGGATGGGATGCGGTCCCTAAGCCTCCCTCAGCAGCCTGTGGTTGCTGTTTGGAGCTGGGTGGGCTGGGAATGGGGAGGGGGTCCAAGGCACTTTGCGAGCGCAGTGTCCCATTGCAAAGGGGCACTGGCTGGTTGCCCTGCTCCCCTTTTGCCCTGCACATCCCAGTTCCCTGGAGCAAGCACATCCCAGGGCCCAGGAGCAGGCAGCGCTGGTGGTCTCCAAGGGCTAGCAGAGGGTAGCAGAGGGATAGCAGCTCCATCCCGTAAGAGCTAGGCATGAAAGCAAGCGGATATTATCTGGTAGACACACTACAGGAATCCAAGCCTTTTTCGGTGCTAACCCACACCCCAGCACAATGAAATTATTCTTTATTGTAAGACCAGAAGGCCAAAGGGTTCCCAGTCCCCAGTCATGCCAGTGGGGACTCACAGCATTACAGGGCTGCAGTGGGGTGGGCTCACATCCCTCACTCCTACCCCGTTAAATCTGGATGCAGGATGCTTCAGAGTGGCAGTTGTTATCTTTCATGCCCTCTGGCATCCCTCCAGGGTTTGTTTTCCTTCACTTTTACCCTTTAATTTGGCCCAAAGCAGTATGAAATCCAGCTGATTGGGGCCACTTTCCCTTCTAAGGTCCTTGTCCTGTTGGGTTTTCCAGCTCCTGACAATACATTCGTCCCAGATTTCCCTGCACTGCAGAAAAGCAGCCGTTCATTCCCCATTATTTGAACCCACTTGTTCTTCCAATGAATAAAAAACAGTCAAAAACCACAGTGCGGTGTCAAGGTGTCCCCAGGCTGTTTCCTATGACTCCCAGGGCTGTCAGACCACGGCACTAACCCCATGGGGTTTAGTCTCTGCCTAAGGGGACTGTGGTGGGGAAAAGCACCGGCTTTCCAGGACGAGGCAGTTGTGCACTTGTTTGTTTAGTGATTCTACTAATTAATTACCCTGCTCCCACCCACCGGAGCTGGATGCGCTGGTGCAAAGCAGTGGCAGATGCTGTAGCTCAGCTGTGCCCCTGCCTGAGCCCCGGGGGCAAAGCTCTCCAAGCTGACTTCTACCCATGACATTTCTTCCTTCTTATTTTTGCTGAAATATTTTTTTTTCCCCACATGGGCAGGAAACATTTTTGACTGTCTTCTCCTTATTGGTGCGTTCATGTATCAGCTTATGGGTATATTTATTTGCTTCCCCTCCCATAACTTGCGTGGACTTACAGCTTTCCTTACAGCTTAAGACCTTTCCCTCAGCTTTCAAAATTGCTTGTAGAAAAAGCCCTCTGTGTCATTTCAGAAATGAGATGGCCTAATATGAAATAAAACTTTTTTTTCAGCGATAGGAGGAAATGAAACCAGCGCTGAGGTGGAGAGCAGTGCACGGCTCTCACTCTCTGCTTCCTCCTTCTTAATAAATCACACGACCCTCCCCCCCGAAATTTGTGCAAAATTATGGAAGAACCACACTCAGAGCTTCTCTAGAAAAGCACCACTTCTCTCCAGCTCTTTACAGGAAGGGCCACGTGGGTGCTTAGAGAAATGACCTTACATATTGCAGGCTCTGAATTTTATTTTTTTTTTTGCTCCTCAGGACTTGTGAATTATTTAATATGTTGTGGGCTTTTTTCGTATGTGCTTCTTTTCCATATTTCTTTAATTTTTTAGAGGGTTTTTCTCCATCTCAGCCTCGGAGGTATTTAAATAGCCCTCAAAGGGTATTTCCCGTTAGCGGTTGAGTGAGAGAGGCACCTATTTAGCAGACATCCTCAGCAGATAGTCACTGCGGATGTGCAGACCCGCCTTGTGGTTAGGACGGGGGGGTCTGCAGTGTCATCCCAGGTGCAGAGGACCGAGGCACGGAGGTGGCACCTACACCAGTGTCAAGCTGACAGAGCCTGCAGGCATGAGTCTTCCCCAGCCTTTGAGGTTCTGACCATGGGGGTCTCCAATCTCCAAGAGGTTTCTTGCTGGAGGGCTGATGCTTTGGGGGTGGTGTACGGCAGGTCTGCTTGTCTGCCCCATCCCATTCTGGAAAATATTTGGGCTCAACCCCTGGTTGTTAGTCTGGTACTCAGCCATGCGAGTTGGGGTGGGAGATGTTAACAATCTTGATGCATCTGGCCGATGCTGGCTTCTGCTCTTGTGCCAGTTTGCCCATGTCCTTATTTCCCAGCTCTGACTGTGCTTTTCCGCCTTCTCCTGGTCCTGACCGCCCCGGTTCCCACCCCTCCCCATCTGTCCCCTGTGCAGACACCCCTTCCCTCGAGTGTTCAGCTCCTGCAGCAAGAGGCAGTTGGAGAACTACTTCCAGAAGGGAGGTGGCATGTGTCTCTTCAACCTGCCCGACACCAAGGACCTGGTGGTGGGACGGAAATGTGGCAACGGCTTTCTGGAGGAAGGAGAAGACTGTGACTGTGGGGAGGTGGAGGTACAGTGCTGGGTGCTGCGTTGCTTTCCCACAGAGGCTTTTGCAGCTCAGCTCAGCTGCTGGGTGGTAGGGTGTGGCCCACGTGGAGAGGGGTATTTCCAAAGGAAATGGGTTTGCTAGTCACCACAGGGACCCCATCCCAAGAGCTCTTCCTGGTCCCTCTTTGCTAAATCCATTTAACCTGGGCCTGGCTTCCTTCTTGACTTTGCCTTAGAGTGCTCAGGTCTTCCTCTTCCCTCCCCATGCCTCTGTTTCCCCGTTGGCAAAATGAGAAGAGCAATGCTGTGAGAAGGTGGAGAAGGGGCTGGGGACAGCAAAGGGATAGAATCACTGACCGTGGTGGTGTCTTCTTCTTCTTCCCCCCACGCAGGAGTGCACCAACCCGTGCTGCAATGCGCACAACTGCACGCTGAAGGAGGGGGCCCAGTGTGCCCATGGTGATTGCTGCCAGAGCTGCAAGGTAAGCCCCTCATCATGCCCACCCGCCTGTCCATGGGCTCAGCAGGGAGATGTGGCCCCCGCCATTCCCTCAGGACTCATGTGCTGCATGTCCATAAGGTCAACCCCCCCCGCTGGTGCCAAATGAGGAGACTTACGCGTAAACTTGTCCCTGCAGGAGAGTCTCTGCTGGCTGCTTTGTGGCTGGAGTCCAGCCCAGGAGTTTGGCTTTATACCTTGATGGCCCCATATAGTCCCACAGGGGACATTCCAAATCATAAAATCATAGAATCATTCAGGTTGGAAAAGACCTGTGAGATCATCGAGTCCAACCATCAACTCTACTCTACCAAGTACACCCCTAAACCATATCACCGAGCACCACATCTAAACGACCTTTAAACACGTTAAGGGATCGTGACTCAACCACCTCCCTGGGCAGCCTATTCCAATGTCTGACAACCCTTTCAGTGAAAAAATATTTCCTAATGTCAAGCCTAAACCTACTCTGGTGCAGCTTGAGTCCGTCCCCTCTTATTCTATCATTAATTACCTGTGAGAAGAGACCAGCACCTACCTCTCGACAATGTCCTCTCAGGTAGAGAGCAATAAGGTCTCCCCTCAGCCTCTTCTTCTTAAGACTAAACAGCCCCAGTTCCCTCAGCCGCTCTTCATAAGACATCCTCTAGGCTTTTCACCGTCTCCAGCACCTCAATGTCTTTCTTGTATTG